GTGCCTGGTGCGGGTGTGCGGTGGCCGGGCCAGCGGCAGAGCATGAACGTGCAGCGCGTGCGGCATGTCTGCGGGGTGTTTGCGTGCCGCATGCATGCTCACGGTGTGTGTTTGCAGTGTTTGCGGCGCCTGCAGCTCGGGCTGAGGCCAGCACACACCAGCACCTCTCAAGGTGACCCAGAGCAGACGACACCTAATGACTTAATTCCCCCATCTGCCACCCCTTCCGTGGACTCCAGCCACCCCGCACCCAGGGACCTCCCCTGCCACGTGTCCCCAAGGGGGGACAACCCTGTTGCCCAGCTGGTGCAAACCCAGAGCACCTTTGGGGGCCTGCAGGCAACCACTACGTGGGGCAGATGCACGAGGGCAGCATGCTGCGTGTGACGCTGGACCAGCTCACGGATGGGCAGCTGGTCTGGCAGCGCCTGGGCGACCCCTACGACGTGGTGTGCCTGGGTGCCCGGCAGTACCAGCTCCGTGCCAGCAAGGCCATCTTCGCCGCCGCGCTCGAGGAGCAGTTCCCCGCCGAGAAGGAGGCAATCGGGGAGTTCATGCGGCTCTCCAAGGTGGGAGCCTCTGGGGACTGGTGGGGACGGTGTCCCCTTGCTGCCCTGGGGACTGCGAAGTGGGAGGTCCCACGTCCCAGGGCCACATGGGGTGGCTGGTGCAGGGTGCTGGGCTCCCTCTTGGCTCTGGCCAGCTGGCGGTGCCTGGGGACATGAGTGTGGGGACGCGGATGGTGGCACTGGAAGCTCTGGGGATATGGATGGTGAGCATGGTGGTGACATGGGTGATGGGGGCAGTGGGGACATGGATGGTGGACATGATGGGGCCGTGGTGGTGGAGATGGTGGGGACATGGGTGGTGAGCGTGGTAGGGATATTGATAGTGGGCACGGCAGGGAAACAGATGGTGGGGACATAGGTGGTGGAGATGGTGGGGACATGGGTGATGAACAATAGGGTCGTGGGTGGTGGGGATGGTGGGGACAAGGACAGTGGGGATGGTGGGGACATGGGTGATGGCGGTGGTGGGGATGTAGGCAGTGGGGATGGTAGGGACACAGGTGGTGATGGGGTCATGGCAGTGACAGTCATGGGGACATAGTGGTGGCAGCGTGGTCACAGGCGGGGGGGGGCCGGGGGGGGGGGCGGGCGGGGTCCTC